GGCAAATACTTCTTGTGATTCGGTGCTGCACTACAGTGAAAAGACAAGAAAACCATGTCGACAATGGGCACGTCTACTTTACTTTTCGGTATTGTGTCCATCGAACACGAAGGGGACCATCGTGGTCTCGGGCTAACTTGAGTGGTATCGACCTCCCTCGCTCTCATTTCCCACTTATATTATGCCCGATTGACAAGACTATAGCAAGCTTTCCCCGGATGGGCGTCACACCCGTGGACCATCCAATCTACGTAAACCAGGCTTTAACAACTTGGAGCTCACATTGGCCAAGTTGTCAAAAGGTAACCTTGGGAAATAGTCACAGCAATCAGACTGTGTATTCGGAGGATTGCGTAATCCCGTCAGTTGTCAGCATTTAGGGCACCGGCCTTTACGAAGCCGTAGTTAATGAAATGCGTGCCAATTCTATTCGCAAATGATCGATCCCTCTCTCTTTCCTTGGTATGCTGCGCTAATGACAAGATTAAGATCAGATCGGGCACAGTGGTCTACGGTGTCTCACCACCCCCTACCACTGGCTTCTTTTATTCATTGGGTATTTCAGCACAGTTTTGTCCTCTACCTGTGGACAATATGGCTCACTGCAGCGTCAAGCTAACTACTTTGGCTACAGCAGGCGTTAGAAATAGTGAAACACTGAACAAACTGCCTATGTTCTTTTTTACCAGAAAAAGTCGCCTTGGCAAGGTTGGAATATTTACTAACATGAATCATAGTCCTAAGTTAGTCCATATATGGTCGTGTTAATTATGGGTTGAACCCATCTTCAGCTACCTTTGTCAAGCACAATCTTGAAAGAGATCGCTACGTAAGTCGTTTATACTCTGATTTGACTTGTGATATCTGTACAAATTCAGTCATGTCTACGGTAAAGACAGGCACCAATTGCATTTCGTATACTGCCTTCATGCGAAGTTATGTCGTCTTTTCCTCCAGGTTCTGGCAATCAGCACGGATCGCCGGGAAATTATAAATGTGACCTGTGCGACCGCTATTATTTCCTCCTCTCTAATCTCCGCAGCCACGTGATAGCTGTGCATAATGGTGGGTTCTTGCTGCTCTGGTGGCTGTTTGTTCTTTGATGAGTTGGCACACGCTAACCATCTCTCATTCATGCCTTCCACCCACTGCAGCTGACCCCAGATCCTGTAGCCAGGGCAGCGAAATGCAAAATCTACCCAGTCTGCAATGCCGGATGTGCCCCCGGAGCTTCACAACTTATAGCAACCTCCGACGGCATCTGTTTACCGTGCACAAAGGTACCTACGCTTTAGAGTCCTGTCCGCAAATATTTCACCGGTTCCTATGATGTGCTGTTCGAGACGTCTTACCGGGCGGAGACCGGGGAAATTAGATTGGCCATTTTTAGACATATTTTGTCTTCGACAGCTCCCAATTCTACAGGCCGGAAAGACCGACAGTTCAAATCTGGGTTCGGTTGGTCGTTGACCCAGCGGATCACGTCCAGTTGGCAGTGATTGGGACTATTAGAAGTCATTTAATTGTGGGATTCGCTGATTTATTCAACAGAGAATACAGAAGCTCCTTTTTGCTATCCAAATCGACAATTCTTCTGCAATTTTTTGCGGAGATATCGGTTCGGCCGGCCTCACAGGCGCAAGTGTCGAAATTTTCACATCACCCATATGAATCAAAGGCTGCTAAATAGACTATAAAATTAAAACTCGTAGATCGCACTGGATTAGAAGCTGTCTTAAAAGAAAGTAAAGTATTCTGAGAAAGTCTGACCCGAATGATCACTTAGTTCGTTGCAGATAGAAGTCAAAACTCTGTTTAATCTAACGTCCCCTCTTGCCTATTACAGTTTTTTAAAGATAGGAATCTGCCCATCGGAGTGCTTTGTTCGCCCGTAGACCTTTAATATTATTTCTCGCTTTTCAAGAGGGCACACGTAATAAATAGGTACCTGTGTTAAGCAGAAGCGCTCCAGCACAGATTTTACATGTGAGTGTCACCTTTCCAGCGCCCAAGGGTACCAAAGTCCTGCCAGGAGGTGAGAACGGTGAGAGGAGGAGGGGGAAGCCAAGGAAGGAGAGACTAAAAGTGGAGAAGGCAAAGAAGATTCGAGAGAAGGTGCAGAAGCCAAAAAGGAAAGAAGTTCCTTGCCCGCCTCCGTTAACCTGCACCATCTGCGGCATTACCCTCGAGTCGGTTGGCCTTCTAGTCGAACACACCACTCTTGTCCACACAGGTAGGCACCCCATTAAACTTCTCGTTTTCAAATGGCCTCTAAAACGGACTGTTGTTGCGACAAATCGAACAGCTGTAGGGCATGCAGTAGACGGAGTTTTTTTCACGTCAACCACTGCGCTCAATCCATCCTCCAAATTTGGCACCGTTTCGAAGCAGGAGAAGCAATGGATGGACGGCTCTGTCGTACTCTCCTCAGTATAATAAATTAGGAAGGCCTTTGGACTATCATGGCACACCGAAAGTCTTGCCTTAGAATATTTCCAAATAGCAGGACTATTCGGTCTCCCTCCGGACCGAGGGTCGGGCAACAACAGCTGCTCAGCATGGCCTTCATGACAAATTTCACCGATGTTGATAGAGTCTGGTTCGTGACAGTTGAGGGTCCAACACGTGTTAGCAGGCTAGCCACTGTACCCAGACCCAGCGTCAGTCGTATCAGTTTCTACCATTGGAACACTATAGGCGCACATGATCCAGATTGCACCCCAATCACCACTACCTCTTTTCGATATACTGTTCGTCCTCTTTGAGTTCAACAGGTGGCCAGTCAACATCCACATTTAGTTATCTGTTAAACGACCAATCCGGCACCACTCCGAAACCTAAGGTGCCGGAGCCTGCCTAATGTTTTTTTTGGAGTTTGGTGAGCAGTGCGCCAAGTTATGTAAAGCTGTGATGTGTGAACGCTACAAACTCATGGCAACATCCCCTAGGCAACGGGGAAAGCTCCGCCTTGACTTCTTTTGATGACGGCATCTTATTCGTATTCATGGTTTTACGTCGACACTCGCTTTATGGAATGTAAGCCAGTTCGGAAATACCGAGTTTGCCGGGAAGGAGCAGGTTTTTCACAACGACACCCGACCAGCTGACCAGTCAGTTTAACCATTCTCAGTCTTAAGACTAGAATGTTTATCAACCTCGCCGTTTTAACACCTGGTTGCCACCTTTCGAAACGTACAACCACGTGTTTCGGCGTACAGTTCTGGGGCATAAAGTTGGCTTGACATCATGTCGACACCACAAAAAGTAAAAGCCCCCGTCACTACGGTGCTAAACGATTGAGCTGGTTCCCAGCAGTTGAGCCAAGTCTTTTACTACCGTAAAGGTTTTGTGCTACAACGAGTTATGTACAGTAGATGTGCCAACTCATGAAATGTCAACCAAAATTTCGAAATGCGTTCTCGTTTCGAAAAGATAAATTAAGTAGTGTTGTAAAAATAATCATGATGCAGCATAAATCTATAATGATCCAATTACCTCAGGGTGTCGGCTTTCGAAAGCACTTATTTTCGGCTGCATGCAAGATCAATGCTCTGCAAAAAATGACTACTTAAGTAGTATGCAATTTTCTCATTTATTTTCGATGCCCTTGAAAATTCAATTATATTTCATGGAAACCATGCATGAAAATATTCATTCTTTTACTTATTCGGTAGAAAATCACGTCTTCTTCCAATTTCATACTCAAAAGTAGAGTATAATTCGGTTTTAAAAAAGTTTCTAATTGTGAGATTTTTTAATACCGTTAAGTGGCCGTTCATGAAACGTCATGTGTCTGCATTTACGAATGTGGCTTGTAAAGTTAACAGTATTGCTCAAATCCACTGCTTAATTTTATGAACCTCATATGGTCTCCTCTTAACACCGTAGAGAAATGTATGGTTTTCCGTACACGGAACATATACAGCTTGTAGTTTTGAAACCCTGAATGCAAGTGTAACAGCAGGTCGGGTTCAAAATTATTCGGGAATTAGAAAGGTTTTTTAAAACCGAATTATACTCTTCTTTTGAGTATGAAATTGAAAGAAGACGTGATTTTCTACCGAATAAGTAAAAGAATGAATATTTTCATGCACATTTTCCATGAAATATAATTGAATTTTCAAGGGCATCGAAAATCAATGAGAAAATTGCATGCTACTTAAGTGGTCATTTTTTGCAGAGTATAGATCTTGCATGCAGCCGAAAATAAGTTCTTTCGAAAGCCGACACCCTGAGGTAACTGGATCATTATAGATTTATGCTGCATCATGATTATTTTTACAACACTACTTAAGTTATCTTTTCGAAACGAGAACGCATTTCGAAATTTTGGTTGACATTTCATGAGTTAGCACATCTTCTGTATAGGCTTTTAGCTGGCGAGGTATTGTACATTTGGATTTTAATCTATGCCGTCCGTCTTGATATGAACTTCGAGAAGATCTATGCTTATTGTTTTAAACCTGCTTACTTTAAAGCGTTGTTTCGCTCTTTAATTTTTAGTTCAATTAAGGTCAGCGGAGCGCACCACGGTGGCCAAAGATGACACCCGCTATTACTCATGCACCCTGTGCAGCAGAGCCTACACGGACTTGTCTAAGCTGCGGAGACATCAGGCCTTTGACCATCGAGGTACTAATGTGTTCAGATTTAAACGATGCCCAATTATCTTTCCTTCGTACAACCAGCTTTTGCCTTGGATTTTGTGCATCCGCGAGACTGCGACTAACGCCTCCATTCACGCCTTTAGAATTGCTGCGACATCGTCAAGGCTGCCGATGGCACCTTGTCTGGCGCGAAGACTGCCCTCGCGGTCTCCTTACACTCCTTTCTGCTTGGTGCTGTTTAAAACCTTGAACGTTGCCCTCACGTCTGCACCGGTGTTTAATCAGTCTAGTCCGTACCATAATACTTTCTCCTACCACCACCTCAATCGGAATTGCAAATGCGCCAGGTGCCGGGATGCGTGACATCCTGACAGAAATCATTCGGTACGCCTTTAAATGAGGTGGTTAAAAGATGGGTTAGATTAAAACAACATTCGAAACGTGAAATTTCCTACGAAAGTAGTATGGGATATGCTTTCTACTAGATATAATTTACTTTGTACATATTTAGGGGGCCAAGTACTTCAGTGGTGATGCATGTGTGAATGCAAATTACACAGGTAACCACAAAGACGTATAATTATGAGCCAGTACGTAAAAATACACCTAGGACTACTTTCCATGCTAGTCGGTCTTGCGGCTTCACCAAAGTAGTAACTTCCGCCCAGGAAAAGTACTTTAAGTGTCATTCAGTTTTGTGAGTCTTAGCGCAGTGTCATGCCCTCCTCGGCGTCTTTTCTGAAAAAATGACCGTGTTCTCCCTCTACCTCCCTTCCTAGATACATATCCTCGAAAGCGTGTAAAAGCCATGGTTGACAATGCAGACGACCGGCAAGTCCTCCAGAACGCCGTCATTTACCCCTTTGAAATCGTCGAGTTGCCGGTCGATATAGACGATTCGATGGGCGCTGTATAGGATGACATTTGCCACGCGCGTGCCTCCGAAGCACACACATCCGCATTTGTAATTGACTTTATTTTTTATAATAAAAATCTCCATATTCTGCTACTTAGCCGGTGGTCGTTCGAAAGCGTCCATTATCCCATCACTTTAGACTTTCCACCTACCGGTTGAAGCCGCGCAGGTTTAGAGAGAAAGCATGCATTGAGCGCGTCATTCTGGCCGACTGTGGGAAGGCACGGAGGTGATCAGTGTCTCGCACGTTGTTTCGAGCGCATCATTTGCGTAAGAAGGCCATAGTCAGCTTACCGACGGCCTGTTTTACCGGTATTTGTTTAGGACACCTCTTCTAAACTACTCATCCGGGGAGGGATAAGGAGTGCTCCTCGGGGAGGCTACCAAACTCCACTCTGGGTCACGACTTCGTTACAGTGGGAGGGCGACCTGAATTTGCCTGGGCCGCCTACGTTGTTAATGTCCTATCTGTAGGGATTTTGGTTTGTAAGTGCGGAGGGAGGATGGTGACAAACGAATGGACTGTGAGGAGTGGAAACACCACACATGCTGTTTACACTCATTCAATTTGACTAGCCAGTCAAGGAAGGCTACCTGGATGTGGTCACCGTGCCGAGCGCGATTTCGTGGAACTAAAGTCAAAGTCTAGCTGCCATGGTAGGTCACCAGGTACAGTGCATTTGTTGGGGACCGTCAGCGTATTGAGTACAAGTATTTGTTACGACCGCTGTCATACCTATGGTAACCTGTCTAGATGGTTTCGTGTTTGTAACCTGCCCATGCATGACAACCCGTGGCCGTGTAGCTGCGGTATTCGCATTGAAGAACCGCGATTGACCGTGTACAGATGCGACGTGGGTCCTTGCTCAACACACCGTGCACATCTTGATCTCATTCAGTTGGTTGAACTAGGGCTTATCACTGGTTTGGAATGCGAGAAAGAGATGACGACCTTGCACAAACTTCCATAACCGTAATGAATTTGATGTCCTTCGAACGGTCTGGTGCTTTTAATGTCGTGGTCTTGAAAGCTGTCGACTGGGGGAATAATTCGCTCCCCTGGACTAGCAGTTATGTTGCAGTTACTCCTTATTACGGATTCAAGGGAACTCTCAACGATGTATTACCTAGGTGTGGGCTACTTCTTGTGGTTTGGGGAAACCCAGCACGTGCGCTGCTCGTGTCAGGTTAATCACTGCACCGAATGCCATACCCAGCCATCTTGATGTTCCCTTGTCCTCGAAACACGGTGGGAGTGTGAAGTCGGGGCTGGGTCGACGTTGCCCAAGTCAAGTTCGCTAACCCGGTTCACAACTGCGTCCCCAGATTAGTGGTTGTTTTCGCCGATTTCGATAATCCCCGAAATACTAAAAAAAATAAGGAGTAGAGACGCGTTTTACCAGACTCAAGCAGTCTGGGCTTTGGTAGCACAAGCCGAAGAGACAAACAGACCTTGCCCGAGGAGTTTGGACGAACAGAGACCAGAAATAGCCATGGGCTAAACTAAAGAATCACGGACATCTTTAAAATCATATGGGAAGATGCTTTTATTTTTAAAAAAAGGGTATCACAGATGTCCTTTCCAGAGGTTGTGGGCAGCTCAAGGTATCAGCTACCGAGAGGGTTAATCAGTTCTTCAAGAAGGTCACATAGCAGTTTCCTCTGGACCAAGCTTACGTGGCTTTGGAGGTAGGTCGCTGTGTATTCTAATTCGTTGATGTTGCTGGATTTGTATGCCATCTTTGAGAGCGAAATGTAAGCAAACAGAAGACACCTACAATGAGGGACTTCAGGAGAAGGAAGAGATCAGAGTCCAAGAGGCCAGCGACACATGTCTCCGACGGACCTTGGCCACCAGTCAGGTACGCCTTCAACGAATAGGCGCCTACCTGTTCCGAGTCGTGCTTCAGGGAGGGCGGTGGCTATGATAGTCGTCTTAGGGTACGATGTGAGGAACTTACGGTTGTCAGAAGAATGAGCAGAACACGAAAAATTTCGCAGGATTTCATGTAATCGAAAAACAGTTCCGGTTCATAGTCGTGGGTAGCTTACCGAGGAGGGATCATATGAGAAGATATGAAAGTGGCTACTAACCATATGCGTCAAGTATTAGGGCTTGCATTCGCTGGTAGGTAGTCAGCGCGCCAACATAGTCCCCTAAACAGCAGTAATAAAACCTGTGCAGGGGGCGGATACCTACGCATGAAAATCTGACACCTAGCACATTTGGAGAGTACGTGCATAGACCGGGGCGCATCCCTACAGAATATGTCCGCCGCCTGAGACAATATCGGCAGTGCGGCGTCGTAACTTTCAAACTTCTGAGTGTGGTGATTGACAATGAGAAAAGAAAGGCCAGAAGTTTACCATAAGTGTATCACCGACGTGAATGTACACACTTGATGCAAAAGTCAGGTGGTCGTTCATTTCGTATATCTATATTGATAGAAAAAGCTCAAAGCGCTCATAATTTCGCACGCACCCTGGCAGCCTTCAGGCTGCATGAGACGAAGAAGTCCAGATTCTCGCGAATGGAAAAGCTGCTGGTTAAAGTGAGATTCTCCTCGGCACGTAGGAAACAGGCTGCGGCCTCTAACAGGGCGGCCGCCTCTCCGATAGCATTATTGAGTTGGGCCTCACACCTAGAGAGGTGTGACGGCTTGTCAAGCTACGTGAGACCTACTTTGCCTTGCCCAGTGCAAATACGCCCGAATATTCGGGCGTATCTTCAGCAGCAAGAGTCTTAGCTAAGAAGGCTTTGGGGATTTGTGAATTTATTTACTGAAGGCTGATTAACTTACCGAAGTCATCTCTAGCCTCAGTAATGTTGGCCTTGCGAAATATTTTCCTAAGAAGATGATGAGTAAAAGAAGAGGATACTTTTTACATTTTGAAGAAAGGTCGCGGTACAAACTGGCGTAGTCAACATCAGGGTTCATTTTTGATATGGATCTAGGGAAAAGAGAGTCGCGGTATCGTATTGGAGTTGGTGGTCCTGAGGGAAACACCTTTTATCACATATCCCTGTGTGTCTAATTCGGGGTGCGAGCTCTGGCACTTACAACGTCACCGGTCGCCTATGAACAGTTGCAATTTTTCTGGCTTGGCCTGGTTTTTCAGGCCTGGCGATGGCCTTGTTTAAGTTAATAAACGCCGAAGTTCGGCATTCTGACATGATTCCCTTTTTAACGCCGGGTAAAACGCAATGATTGCAATAGGCCACCACAAAAAGGTTTTCGATGCGTTAAAAAGGAGCTTTGGGGCAGTTCTGAGAGCGTTAATTGGTATTAAGTAAAGGCGAATTTTTGATGTTACGAACTTCAGGGAATAATGAATGTGCAAGGTAAAACCGCTCTAGTACGATGTGGAGGCGCCTACCCTTCGAATTTTGACAGACTGATCTACCATCTGAACTACCAGGGGTTCCCACAGGCTTCATGAAATCCTGGCTGGTTCATGACCTGGTACAGTTCATGACTCAGCTAAGTGGCAGGTATTCTGATTTTCCGCACTACTGTAAATAGCAAATTCACAAAATGGAAATCTGAGCCTTAGAAGCGCGTATAGGTGCCAGGTATCATCTAGACCAGGCACTGCAATTAAGAGGCTATGCTATGCCGGTACCCGGCGCTGTCTTCTCCAGTAAAGAACACTATTTGCAAAGATGTGGATTTCGTTGTTTGGTTCCAAAACAGGAGTTGTTGAGGTTGCTAGTTGCGGTTTCTGCGAT